CCCCCCCCCCCCCCCCCCCCCTCTCTCTCTCCACACACGGGCCCTCTCCTTCTCTCCTGATTATTTGGTGTCTGTCAGTGACGAGCAGTGCGATCAAGTGGGTGCCGTTGACGGCGAGATCGTCCTGTGCAACAACACCTACTTCTTCACCGAGGATGGGAACACCTACTACTTCCTCGAGGACAGCAGCTCGCCGGACGGGGGCGTCTGGGTCAGCGAAGAAGACGGATCAGAGCTTCCACAAGGTAGGGCATCCATCCATCCATCAGCACACCGTCCCTGTGTGTGTTCACGATGCAGTGGCCGAGACGTCCAGCGAGTCACGTGCCCTCCAAGTCGAGGACACCTTCCTCGAGGCCACCACCGCACCGCCAGCAGCAGAAGGAGAGGAGCAGCAGCAGCAGGAGGGCAGCCCCTCTGCAGCGGTAGACATCCCCAATGAGGGCGACCAGCAGCTTCAGGACGCCCTCTCGGCCGCGATTGCCTACCTGGAGGGCAATGGCGGCTGGGCCACCATATGGCAGCGCTTCTTCGCCGGCAACGCCAGCGAGGGCCTGCCGTCCGTCGCCGCAACCAGCCTCGCCGAGGGAGAGTGCTCGGCAACTCTGCCTGACCCACGAAATGCCACAGGGACGTTTGCAAGAGTGCTTGACGAGGGCGTGCTGTGGGTGGGGTCGGACTTTGACTATCCCCCTTTCGCTTATCGCCTGCCGAACGGTACTGTGTGGGGATTTGAGGTCGATCTGATCGGCGCGATTGTCAAGGGCCTGTCCATCGCGTATGACACCGAGATCGAGGTGCAGTTCGTCCACCGGCCCGTCGTGACGCACTTCTTCGTCGACCTGGTGGCCCCGCTCTATGACGACCACTACGACGTCGTTACCGCCAGCATCTTCAGGACACCCCTGAGGCAACAATTCGCCGGTGAGCTGGCCAAGGGAGACCACCCACCCCCCCTCTCCCTCCCTCCCTCTCTCTCTCTCTCTCTGTGTGTGTGTGTGTGTGTGTGTGTGCAGGGTTCACCTGTCCTTATCTGGCTGGCGACCAGACGGCGATCATCCTGGGTCCTCAGGCCGCCAATCTGACCGTCCCAGAGGGCGCCCCACCAGCAGACCTGAGCGCATTCCCCGGCCTCAGTCTGACGGAGGAGGAGAGCCGCGGGGTCGCTGCACTCAACACGCCTTCCATCAGGATAGGCTTCATCGCCGGCACCACTCGAGCGCAGATGGCCCTCATGCTCTTCCCTAACGTACGGGGCGGAAGCACAACAGAGAGAGTATGTCGTTGGGCCGGTGTTTGTGTGTGTGTGTGTCTGTGTCAGGCGACGCTTGTGCCGGTGGTGGGCCTGTCCTCTATGGCCCATTCTCTTATTGACGGGGACGTCGACGCCCTCCTCTACTCGTACGACGTTGTGGCCTTCATCAAGAAGCTCAATCTGCAGAAATGCCCACAGTGCCGAATCGCAGCCGTGTTCGGCGACGCTGCGCCAATGAGGTGACTGACAATGCATTAAAGAGAGAGCAGAAACAAAGACACAGATTGGAGGAGTGCGTGTGTGTGTTGGTCGGCAGTTTCGTGACTCGCAAGTGGCCGGTTCCTGAGTGGCTGACGGTGCCTGAAGATCAGCTGGTCGACCCCGATGAGGCCACTGACGAGCTGCGGCAGGAGGAGAGGGACCAGCAGGAGTTCCAGGAGGGCCAGGAAGGCCAGGAGGGCGGCAACTGATTCATGCATGGACATCGATCGTCTGCTGAGTGATTGATTTAGGTGAGGGAGGGGGAGAGGAGAGGTTGACAAGGCTGCCTGTGGTTGGCATCTTACTACCCTCTGTCTCTCTGTGTGTGTGTGTGGGTCTCTCAGGTGTTTCGCGTGTTTTGCGTTATTTGGTTAAGCTTAGCTTCCTGTGGATCGTGTACCTCACTGCCCATGTAGCTGACGTCATCGTCCACCGACAGGTGCGTGTGTGGTGTCTTGGCGTCGCAGCCCTGACAGCAGACACACACCTGTCCGTGTGTGGTGAGGGCAGCTACATGGTTTTCCGTCCCTCCCTGCCTGTCTTGCGCCTACCCAGTACGGTCTGAACCAGAGGCCATCCCATCCCCCAACACACATACACTTACCCTTAGAAGCTGCTTACTTGGTTGCGAGAGTTGTTTGCTCGTGTCGTCGGAGAGATCATGTGTTGTCTGTCTTTTTCCGTTGGTCGTCAGCCTACCGGGTGTGGTGTGGTGTGGTGTGGTGTGGCGTGGTGTGTGGGGTATTCTCAGCCAGCCACTATGTGTGTACCTAGTGATGTTTGATCGACATTTTAGTACACACATAGACAGCGTTGCGTTGCGTTGCGTTATTCATACTGACGGGGAAAGTCAGGTACTGCTTACTGACGGGACGGGTGTGTCACAATTCAATTGCATGCTACTACCCGGCGTATCGTACCAGCCTTATTGGCATGTGACTCACCTGACCTGCAGTACAGTTGGCTTTAGTGTTTTATGCATCTGTGTGTGTGTGTCCGTGTGTCTGTGCTGTGCATCCGCCTCGCTCTGTCTGTGGTGGGTAAGCGGGACGCGCCGCTTGTGGTGGTGTGTGTATATTGTCTGTGTACGGCGTCGTCTTGTTAAGTTACCTGGCTGTCGAGCTGCGGCGCGTGTCCTCCATGCCTTGTCGTCTGCGTGGAAGGAAGATGGCGAAGCGGATCGACAGGCCGAAGGTGGGTGGCAGCAGTAGACAGACAGACAGACAAAGGGAAGAGACAGAGGGAGGGGTGGCGGATGGATGGATGGGTGTGTGTGTGTGTGTGTGTCGTGGTGATTTATCAAGTCAGTTCAAGAGATTTGAGTCAGTCATGGTTTTCGGTTTTTCCTTTATCTAGTCGTTGGATGGGCAGGGAGGAGATATGCGAGCCGAGACAGACAGACAGACACCATGGAGGACGGGACGCAGGCAAGATCCTCCCCCACACACAATCCTCAATCCGTCTGGCTGTCTCTGTGCACTCAATGACTGTGCTGCCGCCCGGCAGCCAATTCGCTACAGACACACAAAACGCCAACAACGGCTACCGACCGAGAGAGGACGGCACAGCGTCACCCACACCCACACCCGCACCAACACCCACACCCGCACCAACACCCACACCCCAACCCACCACCCCACAGGCCCAGGTATCATTCACTCACTGCTGGGTGCCACTGTGGTGGCCAGTGCCAGCCCTCGGTGTGTTGGCATACGTATTGGCCACATACGTCACCGGCACATGTGGCCGCCACTGCCCATGAGGACGCTCCAGCACCGCATCAGCCGTCCGCGGCGTGACAGCGTCTCCGTTTCCACTCCCCCCATCAGGGCCTCGCAGCTCTCCCGCCAGCGCCTCATATATCTCTCGCCCCTGATCATGGTCATGGTCCTCACCCCCACCACGAGGAAGAATCGGCTCTTGCAGGCTCGTGGCGCGCGTCATGCTCTCGGGGGGATGTCCGTCCCTCAGAAAGCGGATCAGGTTCCGCACAGGCCTCTGCAGCTGCTGCCCCACTCTCGCGAGCGCCTCCTCGCTGCCACTGCCACTGCTGCTGCTGGGCGGCTCCAGGCGTCGCAGAGGGCCGATGAGGGGCCCCCTTGTGTGCACCGTGGTGGGTGGTCTTCGGTTGTTTGAGTAGAGGGGGGATGAGGGGATGGCGGGGCATGTACTTGGCTGTGCAGGGGGGCGGGGCGTTGGGAGCGAACATGTGGTTGTCGGGGATGTGTAGCGGGGCTGGTCGGGGAGGGGGGAGGGTCAGCGGGCAGCAGTCCCGAATCGACGCGCACTCGGCGTACAACATTGTACCTAGCCAGCACAACCACAGACACACACAGACACACACAGAGACAGAGAGAGATGGACAACAGCACCACATTCGCCGCGCAGTGATGTGGTCTGGTGTTCTTGCCAGCTGTGACGAGGCCGACGCCCACGATCTTGAAGGCCATATCGACGGAGTGGACAAAGATGGGGCCGTACCCCTCATACCCATAATAGCGCCACAGCAGCTCGTCCAACCCATACCTGCACACACACAGAGAGAGACAGACAGACACACAGAGACATAGATGCGTGTCGGCATACAAAGGCAGGCGCACATGGCGAGTGTTGTCAGGAGTTCCGCAAGGCATCTGTGGCCAGCTGCTTGGTCATAGCAGCAAAAAACGGCTGACAGAGGGAACAGAGACGGCATAGCATGAGAAAGAGACGGCCTCTCCGTCTGTCTGGTCTGTCTGTGTGCTCTCTCCGTCTCCCTCACTGTAGAGGTGCATCGCCGCCAGTAGAGTGAATCCGCCCGCACACAGCAGGAGGGCCTCGTTGTGAAATCCCTGCACACAACGACACGACACACGCAGAACAAACTCTGACAGACGGCCGATGCGATGCAGCCCCTCCCCCTTGTCCTCCTTCATGTGTGTGTGTGTGTGTGTGTGTGTGTACCAGGACGGCTGTGTGCCACAAGTCGACCCTGGTGTGCAGGGGGACGACAAACATGACGACGACCACCATGCCCATGCTCCAAAACCCCTCGAGACACACAAACACCACCTGCACACACACACACACACACACACACATCCAGCCATCCATGCCCACAAAACCGCCGCGCACATCACCACGCAACCTACCGATCTGAGACCTTCCGCCTCGTTCGGGTCGAGAAGCTGTTCATAGCACACCGCCTCCCACACCACATGCACCGCCTGCATCAACCCCGCCGCCAAAGCCAACACCACACCCACACCAGCACCAGCAGTGGCCGGCTGCTCAAACACCGCCGTATACGCCGCAAGAGCAAGCCCCGCGGCAACGACCCAGCCCCCCACATGCTGCATCCGCGTCAGCACGCCGGCGTGCAGCACACACTGGCAGCAGATGGGCACAAACACGAGGAGGGAGGACCGCAGCAGAGAGAACAGCCCATTGGGAAGGCGGACAAAGGCGTATAGCAGCATGACCGTGGCGAGGGCGTCCAGCACCGCCGGCATGAACCCCAGCCACAGCATCCGGCACACCGCCTCAGCGAGGGAGAGCCTCGCTCCGTGTGCCATCGGTGATGAGAGCAGCCCCCTCTCGACGATAGCGATCTCTGGCGTGCCGGGCGGGACGCCGGCCGCAGAGGCCACCATGGTTGCCGAGGCGGCCGAGGCCACCGGGGGGCCCTGGGGTGGTCTGGGTCTGTCGCCCTCCTCCAGCGGCGCACACCACCACCACCACCACAGGAGCCACACGACGAGCACGGTGGACAGGGCGGTCGTGGGAAGGAAGGTGAGGAATGTGAGCAACAGGGGCTGGTCCAGATGGCTATCTGCTGCAGCTGGAGAGAGGTTGACGAGGGTGATGGCTCGGAGGAAGAACCATTTCAGGATGGCCAGCACGGCCACGGACCAGTAGGCCGCTTTGCAGCCCTTAAAGGCGCCCATTTTTCTTCCCTGCGTGAATGGATGGTCTTGATACACGGGTAAGACTCAGAGATCAGAACGCTGGTCGCTTTCCGTTGTGTTTACAACACCGGAATCGCCTTGCGATGGTAGTGGCAACAAACACATGGTGGTGCACAGGTATCTGTCTGTGTCGTTGAGCGTGTGCTGTCTGTGTTGCTGCCTGCAGGCTGTGTCGGCCAGCGGCGTCCCGTTTGACATGGTGGCTCTGCGGATGGCGGCCCACCTCAGCCCGGATGCGGTCTCTCTGACAAACCAGCTGGTGGATCTGCTGAGGCCGCAGCCACTCGCCATCGAACAACTCGCCGCAAGGTCGGTGCCCTGCCCTGCACACACACACATCCATCCATCCATTCTGGTGGATGATGGTGTGGTGTTGCAGTTATTCGGCGCACTATGGTCGGAGTTTGATGCTGTCGCTAAAGGAGGCCTACCCCCGCAACCCCATGACCCTCATGGAGGTGCTCGAGGCGCGGCCCGATATATTTGACGTGCAGAACGTTGCCAGAACCGTCGGAGGGGGCGCCTCCTTCATCATTTCCCTGTAGCTACCTAGCTAGCCCAACAGACACAACACATCACTACACACACGCAACGCAAAGATGTGTGTGTGTGCCGTGTCCGATGGTTGGTCAGGTGCCCAGAGGCGCAGAACATGCCCCCACTCCCCCCGCCCACCCCTTACCCACACCCACACCCAGCCATGCACCACTACAGCCACCACCTGCAGCAGGATGACCACTACCAGTGCAGCTACCACCAGCAGCAGCAGCAGCAGCCGTACGCCTACACTCCCGAGGCCTACCTCGCCCCCTACAGCAGCAGCCACAGTGGCCACCATGGCAGCACCACTATGAACTGGGGCATGGGGGTGTGTGGCATGGGTGTGGGGGTGGGTGTGGACGACGAGTGTCCGCCGCCGGGGTACGGCGACTTGCAGGAGGGTGGTGGGGGCGACGAGGGAGAGGGAGAGGGCGATCGTAATCATCAGAGTGAGAGTGGGAGTGGGCATGGTGAGTATCAGTGGGAGCATGGCGACGTGCTCAAGGCCGTCCAGGTCAGTCCAGGAGTACAGTACACCCAATCGTGCGTGTGTGTGCCGGAGCCATGGATGGATGGATGGATGGATGTGTGTGGGGCAGGTGATATTGAGCGGTGCGGAGGGGGCGATGTCCGTTGCAGACCTCGAACGACGCTTCGAGCTGGAGCACCATTGCAGGTGCGCACACACGCCTCTCTCACGCCAAATCCCCCGCTGATTGTGTGTGTGTGTGTGTGTGTGTCAGTTTGTCGAGTGTGTTGGGGACACCGACGGCGGCCTACTTGTGTGAGAACCCTCAGCTGTTTCAGTTCAGGGGCGACGCTGAGCCCCCGATGGCGTCACTGCACAGACACATACACACCGGTGGGCGGGCGCGTCCGTGTGTGTGTGTGTGTGTATGTGTTGGGGGCATCGGTATGGTGTGTGTGCAGACGGCAAGTTTGCTGCTGATGGTGGCGGTGGTGGCGGTGGTGGTGGCGGTGGTGGTGGCGGTGGTGGTGGCGGTGGTGGTGGTGGTGGTGAGAGGCCTGATCGCAGTGTGCCTGAGGATGAGCCGGCCGTCGTCAAGGAGCTGGCCAAACTGATCGAGGAGCAACACGGTACACACACACACACACGGGGCATACGTGTGTGTGTTGGTGTTTGCAGGGGCGAGTAATGGTGTGCAGGTGTCCGCCCTCTGCGACACCTTCAGAAGGAAACACAAGACCCCCGTCAGTGGTACGTGTCCAAGGTGCAGCCATCGTGTCTATGTGTGTGTGTGTGTATGTATGTGTGTGTCGCGCGTGCAGCCATTGTGGGTGTGCGGCCGTCAGTGCTCTTCAAGCGACACCCACAGACCTTCAGACTCATCGGGAACGGGTATATTTCACCACACCCCCTCACATCTCACCTCACACACAGCCGATAATTGAGCTTCTCTATGTGTCAGCATGGTGGCACTGCACCAGAGGCCAGTCCGTTCTGACGCCAACACACACGCCCACACGGACAGTGATACTCGCACTAACAAGGGGGACGGGGAGGGGGACGGGAAAGATACAGACGACACCACCAAGTGAGTGACCCACACACACACATCGACATCAACACACCGCCATAGATGTGATATGGTGGCCTTGCTTTGCTTTGCTTGTGCAGGCTGCCTGCCCCTGCTGCTGGTGCTGGTGGCGGTGTGGGTGAGACGAAGCCGTCCCCCGGCGCTATGAAAAGGTGAGTGTCTGTGTCTCTCTCTCTGTATATATGTGTGTGTGTGTGTGTGTGTGCACAGGCAGCTGCTGCAGCGTATGTATTCGCTGGAGCTGACCGACGACATTCTCCACGATATCCACGACAAATATGCGTCAAAGGCGCACTATAAGACGTATACACACACACACACACACTCACACACACACATCCACTACAGCACTGTTTTCTTTTGCTGCCTCTGTCTCTATCTGTCCATGTGTGCAGTGTGCAGTCGAGTGTGTCGGCTCTCTGCGAGATCCTCGCCACGCAGTCGTTTCTCGCCGTCACAGAAGTCGTCAGAGGTGCGCTAGCCACCCCTTCCACACACATACACACACACACACACATACACACACACACAGAGCACACGGGAGACAGCACTGTCTGTGTCTTGGTGGTGGTTACACTCTACACACACACACACACAGGTGGGGGTGTGGGCAAGGGTCTGGTGACGTTGGAGAAGGCCGACGCCCTCATCGTCCTCATGGTCAAGCAGCTGCCGCACAAAGACCACCACAAATGGTCGGTTCGGTACAGCCAAGCCCCATCACATTCGCCCACACACCCTAAACCCACCCCTCCCTCTCCCTCTCCCTCTCTCCCCCTCTCTCTGTCTGTCAGGCTGCCGTCGATCCTCGAGACACTGCAGGCCATCTTGCAGGTGCACCTGGCCTCCCACCAGGCGGGCAACTTCTGTGTGGGCGGCGACGGGAGTGGTGTGTGCCTCGAGATGGTGCCGGAGAAGCCCGTCCGCAGAGATGTCGACGGGCTGGGCGACGAGGAGAGGGACATGATCGACAAGGCCGGACCGCTGCACATAAGGTCGGAAAGGGCCTAGAGAGGGAGGGAGGGAGAAGCAAAGTTGCGTGGTGGTGTGGTGTGCAGGATTCAGCTGAGCCCCGTGTATGCGACGCCCTCCTCGCTGTGGTCGTGTGTGCGGGACACCCCCCAGCACCTCAGGCACTACCTCACCCCAGCATCCGCCAAACACGCCACACAGATCGTCGCACAGCAAAACAAATATGTACCGGCCCCCCATCCCCTCCGCCCAAAGCCCCCATGCCCCCCACACCCACGTGTGTGTGTGTGTGTGCAGGTGAAGGAGGCGATGCGTCTGGTGCATCTGTGGTCGTCGCGGCAGCCGTGGTCGAGTGCGCTCACCACTCCGTCGGACTACCTGCTGGAGCTGCTCGGCATACATGCGGCACACCAACTACGGCACCACCAGCAGCAGCAGCAACAGCAACAGCAACAGCAGCAGCAGCAGCAGGCAATCCGCACGAAAAAGGCCACAAAGCAGCGAGTCTACTCTCTCTCTTCATCTCTCTCTCTCTCTCTCTGTGTGTGTGTGTGTTTGCAGGGGAGTCTGTTGTGTGTGGTGGCAGGAGTGTTTGAGGTGTGTCGAGGTTTCGCGTCACTCAACCTCACATGGGGGGCTGACAACGACACTGATACTGCACACCAGAAGGAGCAGCAGCAGCAGTTGCCGGAGAGTGCGAAGCTCGCCGCCTACGAGGTGAGTGAGGGAGGGGGAGATGGAGAGAGGGAGGGAGAGACACACTCATCCCATACTGTGTTGAGTGCAGTACGGTGACATCTGGGGTCCGCTGCTGGCCCAGCGGCCGCTCGTTATGGATCCCGCCGACCCCTTCACTAACCTGGCTTGTATGTCTGTCTGCAACCTTCCTTCCCCACACACACAAATGTCTCTCTCTGCCCTCCACTCTCTCTCTCTGTGTGTGTGTGGCAGGCCCCGAGCGTTTCGACCATCGCCAGCTGATTGAGCTGTCTGCCGCCCCCCGGTGCTTCGACTGCTTCCGCAGAGAAGCCGGCAAGCTGCCCGAGGTCAAGGCCATGCTCCTCGAACAGACACAAGACATCCAAGACATGAACATGATGATGTCACCGACCAAACTGGTCAGTTCACACACACACACACATGAAGGCACTCAGGGCACGTCCCCTCTCTCTTGTACCCAGGTTGGTGGGGGTGGGGGTGGTGCGGGTCCGTCGCCTTGGCCACGCATGTCGCCTGCAGTGACCACCCAGCCGGCCACGGCGGGCAGCACTGCGGCGCACACACCGTCGTGGGCTGACGAAGGCCAGGAGGATGATTGATGATGGCATGGCGAGGGGGGCGGTGGGGGACCGTGGGCAGGGGCGGATACGTACGTAGTAGTGGGCTCAAAGGCCTGCCTGTGTGTGCACACCTGATGTGTGTGTGGTGTGTTTGCGGTGAATGGCTTGAGGGGTGTGAGGAAACGATTAATCGTTGGTTGACAGACACATACATGCGTAGGTAGAGCTTGTATGGGTTGTGAACTGTGTGTGTTAAATAAATCTCGTATACAATCCATCAGCTCTTGTCATGCATCGCACCATCATCAATCATACCGTGCAGTCAGTCAGTAGCAGGCAGAGGGAATTCTCCCTCCCTCCCAGTTCTTCCGAGTGAGTGGTGTGCATGGGTGGCGACATGCAGTGTGTGTGTGAGTGAGTAGTAGTGAGTGTGTGTGACAGGTACCCACACCCACCCATTGCACGTCCGTCTCAACAAATACCCATTCTAGCGTCCCATGGATGGATGGCTGGACGCTGCGAGAGAAAGGAAAAAGGAGTTGTGTGTACTGCATTGCCTGCCCTGCCTGCCTCTACCGTACTGTACTTGCTGCATGACGTGACTGACGTACACAAGGCACACACCAACACCGATGGACGTGCCAACTTGGTGGCTTGCTTGGCTGCCTGACTGACCTTGACCAAAACGCCCCCCCACCCCTCCCCCTAGAACATCATACATCATATCGACAGCATCTCTCTCCTTCTCCCTCCCTCCCGGTGAATTACTGTCTCGTGGCTGACATTAATGACTGACGCATACTCTCTCTCTCTCTCTGATGCGCTCGCACACGCACACACACACCTGCATTGAGATGGATGGATGGATGGATCAACAGACGACACACATGTATTAGATAAGATAGACGTACACCCACACACACCCACACACACACACACACACACAGGTGTGTCTCTCTCGGCATAGAATAGACAACATTGTATCTATCGACACAAATCTATAGGCTACAGTACCACTCACACTCACTCACCCGCCCAAGCCTCTCTGCTCATCCCCAGCCCCCCCCCCCGC